TCAGGCCTGTGTCAAACTCCTGACCTCCAGTGATGCGCCCGCCTCAGCTTCCCAAAGTGCTGAGACTACATGCGTGAGCCATCATGCCAGGCCTACTTTTATATATATACATGTGTGTATATATAAATACACGTATATATAGTTTCGCTCTTGTTACCCACGCTGGAGTGCAATGGCACGATCTCGGCTCACCGCAACCTCTGCCTCCTGGGTTCAGGCAATTCTTCTACCTCAGCCTCCTGAGGAGCTGGAATTATAGGCACATGCCACCATGCCCAGCTAATTTTTTGTATCTTTAGTAGAGATGGGGTTTCACCATTTTGACCAGGATGGTCTCGATCTCTTGACCTCGTGATCCACCCGCCTCGGCCTCCCAAAGTGCTGGGATTACAGGCTTGAGCCACTGCACCTGGCCGACTTTTTAAAATTTTTAGTAGAGACAGGGTTTTACCATGTTGGCCAGGCTGGTCATGAACTCCTGACCTCAAGTGATCTGCCTGCCTAGACCTCCCAAAGTGCTGGGATTACAGGTGTGACCCACTGCGCTGGCCAACTGTAACTTTTTTACTTCATGAACTCTTACTACTTTTTTTTTGGAGACAGGGTCTTGCTCTGTCAACCATGCTCCCTGCAGCCTCGACCTCCTGGGCTCAAGCAATCCTCCTACCTCAGCCTCACAAATAGCTGGGACCATAGGCATGTGCCACCACACCTGGCTAATTTTTGTGTTTTTTGTAGAGACAGAATTTCGTCATGTTGCCCAGGCTGATTTTGTTATACATTTTGGCACTTTTGTAGTAACACATAGCTGAAAATACAAACATATTGCACAGCTGTACAAAAATACTATCATTTTTCTGTTTAAAAATTTTTTAATGTTTTTTAAAACTTTTTTTTTTTTTTGAGACAGAGTTTCGCTGTTGTTGCCCAGACTGGAGTGCAATGGCCTGATCTCAGCTCACCGCAACCTCTGCCTCCTGGGTTCAAGCAATTCTCCTGCCTCAGCCTCCTTAGTAGCTGGGACTACAGGCACGCACCACCATGCCCAGCTAATTTTTGTATTTTTAGTAGAGACGGGGTTTCACCATGTTGACCAGGATGGTCTCGATCTCTTGACCTCGTGATCCACCCGCCTCGGCCTCCCAAAGTGCTGGGATTACAGGCTTGAGCCACCGCGCCCGGACCTAAAAAAACATTTTTAAAAAATGAGCTGAGGCTGGGCACGGTGGCAAACGCCTGTAATCCCACTGCTTTTGGAGGCCGAGCTGGGTGGATCACGAGTTCAGGAGTTTAAGACCAGCCTGGCCAAGATGGTGAAAACCTGTCTCTACTAAAATACAAAAATTAGTTGCCTGTAATCTCAGCTACTTGGGAGGCTGAGGCAGGAGAATTGCCTGAACCAAGGAGACAGAGGTTGCAGTGAGCCGAGATTTCGCCACTGCACTCCAGCCTGGTGACAGAGCGAGACTCAGTCTCAACAAAAAAAAAAAAAAAAATTAGCTGAGCATGGTGGTGTGTGCCTGTAGTTCTAGCTACTTAAGTGGCTGAGACAGGAAAATCCCTTAAGCCTGGAAGTTTGAGGCTGCAGTGAGCTATGACCATGGCATTACACTCTAGCCTGGGTGAGAAAATGAGACCCTGTCTCAATAAAATAAATAAATAAGGTCAGGCAGCCAGGAAGTGGAAGAGCCAGGAATTTAGGATGGAGTATTTGGCTTCAAAGCCTGTGGAAATAGCTTACTTTTACTTGTTAATGTATCAGTGTTCTCTGGAAGATATACATTTGGGGAATAAAAACAGATTCTGCTACTAACAAAGTTGGTTTTTTTGTTTGTTTGTTTTTTATGATCTGTAAAATTACCTACAGCTTGCTATTCGTAGAAAATACAAACCACTTCCTTTGAGATCAGCACTTGACTCATTTTCTTTTCTTTCTTTCTTTTTTTTTTTTTTTTTTTTTATGAGACAAGATCTCACTCTGTCGCCAAGGCTGGAGAGCAGTGGCACAATAATGGCTCTGCATTCTTGAGCTCCAGGGCTCAAGCAGTTCTGCTGCCTCAGCCTTTTGAGTAGCTAGAACCACAGACACATGCACCACACCAGGTTAATATTTTTTTTAAATTAATTAATTAATTTTAAAGACAGGATTTTACCATGTTGGCCAGGATGGTCTTGAACTCCTCACCTCAAGTGATCCACCCACCTTGGCCTCCCAAAGTGCTGGGATTGTAGGTGTGAGCCACCCAGCCTGGCCTATTTTTAACAATTTTTTATGGTAACGGGTGTCTCTGTCTGTTGCCTAGGTTGGTCTGGTGCTCTTGGCCTCAAGGGATCCCTCTACCTCAGCCTCCCAAAGTATGAACCATTGCACCCAGAATTCACTTCTTTTATTTCTTTTTTTTTTTGAGACGGAGTTTTGCTCTTGTTGCTCAGGCTGGAGTGCGATGGTGCAATCTCGGCTCACCGCAACCTCCACCTCCTGGGTTCAAGCAGTTCTCCTGCCTCAGCCTCCGAGTAGCTGGGACTATAGGTGCACGCCACCATGCCCAGCTAATTTTTGTATTTTTAGTAGAGATGGGGTTTCACCTTGTTGACCAGGATGGTCTCGATCTCTTGACCTTGTGATCCACCTGCCTCAGCCTCCCAAAGTGCTGGGATTATAGGCGTGAGCCACTGTGCCTGGCCTTATTTCTTTTTTTTTTTTTTTTTTTTAATTTGAGACAGTGTCTTGCTCTGTCACCCAGGCTGGAGGTCGACTCCCAGGCTCAACTGATCCTCTTACCTCAGCCTTTTTAGTAGCTGGGACTATAGGCATGTGCCGCTATGCCTAGCTAATTTTTTTTTTTTTTTGAGACAGTCTCGCTGTGTTGCCCAGGCCCAAGTGCAATGGCACCATCTCGGCTCACTGCAGCCTCCGCCTCCCAGGTTCAAGTGATTCTCCTGTCTCAGCCTCTTGAGTAGCTGGGATTACAGGTGCCACCCCCAGGCCCGGCTAATTTTTTTGTATTTTTAGTAGAGACGGGGTTTCACCATATTGGTTAGGCTGGTCTTGAACTCCTGACCTTAGGTGATCCACCAGCCTTGGCCTCCCAAAGTGTTAGGATTACAGGCATGAACCATGGCACCTGCCTCTGGCTAATTTTTGTATTTTTTGAAGAGATAGGGTTTTGCTATGTTGCTCAGGCTGGTCTAGAACTTACAGCCTCAAGTGATCCACCCACCATGGCTTCCCAAAGTGCTGGGATTATAGGTATGAGCAGTGGGCCGCAGAATTGACTCATTTTCTAACCTTGGAACATATTCTAAACCATTACCTTTATTGTTAATACAGAAACCTTCTTCCTGATAAGCAACTTACCTGCGTCATTTGGGCCATTTCCCTGTCTTATGTTGGATAACCAGCTTTCTCCAAGTACCCACTCGATTAGCTAAATTTATTTTGAAGTCTGAAGTGTAGGCCTCAAGGAATAAATGAATCATTGTGTGAACGTTGGCATTACCATTTATTACTCATTCAGTGGGTAATACCTGAATGCCTACCATAAACCAAATAGCCACTGTACCCGGAGAAGCCAGGAGTCTTAAGACCAGCCTGGCCAACATGGTGAAACCCTGTCTCCACTAAAAATACAAAAATTAGCCAGGCATGGTAGTACACGCTTATAATCCCAGCTACTCAGGAGGCTGAGGCATGAGAATGACTTGAATCCATGAGACAGAGGTTGCAGTGAGCTGTGATTGCAGTGAGCCATGGAGCTGTATTCCAGCCTGGGTGACATAGGGAGACTCTGTTTCAAAAAACAAACAAAAAATAGTTTCTTACTTATTTTTATAGAAAAAAACGTCAGGTGTTGAACTCCTGATCTCGTGATCCACCTTCCTCAGCCTCCCAGAGTGCTGGGATTACAGGCGTAAGCCACATACCTGGCCATGTTTTCTTATTTTTATTATTATTATTTTTTTTTTGAGATAGAGTCTCACTGTGTTGCCCAGGCTGAACTGCAGTGATGTGATCTTGGCTCATTGCAACCTCCACCTCCCTGGTTCAAGCAATTCTCCTGCCTCAGCCTCTCGAGTAACTGGAACTACAAGCACATGCTACCACACCCAACTAATTGTGTATTTTTAGTAGAGATAAAGTTGAGATAAAGTTTCACTATCTTGGCCAGGCTTGTCTCGAACTCTTGACCTCAGGTGATCTGCCCTCCTCGGCCTCCCAAAGTGCTGGGATTACAGGCGTCAGCTGCCATGCCTAGCCTTGTTTTTGTATTTTAGAGATGAGGTCTCACTATGTTGTCCACGGTGAGTTTGAATACCTGGGCTCCAGTGATTCTCCCATTTCTGGCTTTGAATTATATATAGATATACATATATATGTACATACACACACACACACACACACACATATATATATATATAAGATCATTCTGTATGTATTTTATGTTCATCTTGCTTTAAAAAAAAATGAACAATGTATTCTGGATATTTTCCCCCTTCAATACAAAGAGATCTATTGCTTTTTTTTTTTGAGACGGAGTGTCACTCTGTTGCTAGGCTGGAGTGCAACGGCGCCATCTTGGCTCACTGCAACCTCCATCTCCCAGGTTCAAGGGATTCTCTTGAGTCAGCCTCCCGAGTAGCTGGGACTACTACCTGTGTGCCACCACGCCCAGCTAATTTTTGTATTTTTAGTAGAGACCAGGTTTCACCATGTTGGCCAGGATGGTCTCAAGCCTCCCAAAGTGTTGGGAGTACAGGCGTGAGCTACTGCACTCAGGGTTTTTTTTTTTGAGATGGAGTCTCAGTATCCTAGACTGGAGGAGTGCAGTGGTGCCATCTCAGCTCACTGCCACCTCTGCCTCCCGGGTTCAAGTGATTCTCCTGGGATTACAGGCGCCCGCCGTCATGTCCAGCTAATTTATTTTATTTTATTTAAATTAATTAATTTATTTCTGGGTGAGAAAGCCAGCTGACTCTTCATTGCTTGGGGATCAGGGGACTCAGGAGCTCTTGGTGGGGTGGGTCCGCTTCGTCTTCACCATCACAGGCTTCTGGCTGTGCAAGATGGTGCTGACCCTGTGGACCGCTGCCATGCACAAGTCAGGGCAGTACTTGTTGTTGCAGATCATGTGTCTGATGCTGCTGAGCGTGGCGCAAGCGTTCTTATTGTTGGTGGTCTGCACGCTGGAGGCGGCAGGCTTCTGCTGGCTGGATCTCCGCTTCATAACCACCACCACACCTTTGCAGTCAGTTGCCATCTCCACGCCCACAGTCTTGGGGTGAATCAGCCCGTTGTAGCGGAAGGAGTTGCGGGCCTTCAAGTTATGGGGCTCGGTGCTGTAGGTCTGCTTGTCCCTCTTGATCAGGAAACTGAAGCATTTTGGCACGACGATCCATTGCAGATTCGCAGACATGATGGCGGCTCCTCTCGCAGCAATGTCCTGACACAGAAAGATAATTTTTGTATTTTTAGTAGAGGCAGGGTTTCGCCATGGTGGCCAGGCTGGTCTCAAACTCCTGACTTCAGGTGATCCACCCGCCTCAGCCTCTCAAAGTGCTGGGATTACAGGAGTGAGCCATGTGTCCAACCTTCTTTTTTCTTTTGAAATTTAAATGTATTATGATTTGTGGAGATGGGCTCTCACTATATTAACAGCCTGAACATAATGCTGGTCTCCTGGGCTCAAGTGACCCTCCTGCCTCAGCCTCCCAGAGTGCTGGCATTATAGGCATGAGCCACTGTAACTTGCCAAAACGTTTACTTTTTGGAACATACCTGAAGGATATACTTCATGGAATGGAATTACTAGATCGAGGGATATAATCATTTAAAAATTATGGCCGGGCACGGTGGCTTAAGCCTGTAATCCCAGCACTTTGGGAGGCCCAGGCAGGTGGATCACGAGGTCAAGAGATCGAGACCATCCTGGTCAACATGGTGAAAACCCGTTTCTACTAAAAATACAAAAAAAATTAGCTGGGCATGGTGGTGCGTACCTGTGATCCCAGCTACTCAGGAGGCTGAGGCAGGAGAATTGCCTGAACCCAGGAGGCGGAAGTTGTGGTGAGCCGAGATCGTGCCATTGCACTCCAGCCTGGGTAACAAGAGCGAAACTCCGTCTCAAAAAGAAAAAAAAAAAATTAGATGCTGACTGCATGTGGTGGCTCATGCCTGTAATCCCAGCTCTTAGGGAGGCTGAGGCAGGAGGATTGCTTGAGCCCTAGAGTTCCAGATGAGCTGGGGCAACATAGTGAGACCCTATCTCTACAAAATATTTAAAAAATTAGCCCAGTGTGGATGTAGTGGCATATGCCTGTAATCCCAGCTACTCAGGAGACTGAGGTAGGAGTATTGCTTTGAGCCCAAGAGATTGGAGGCTCCAGTGAGCCAGGATTGCGCCACTGCACTCCAGTCTGGGCAACACCCAGAGTTTGCATAAAAAAAATAAATATTAGATTCACATTGTGAAATTGCCCTCTAAAAAGTTCACCCCAGTGTATCCTCTCATCAGTCGTGCAGAAGTCTGTCTGCTTCCTTGTCCTAGTCAAACTTTTGTGTGTGCAGATCTGATAAGTGAAAAATAGTATCTTCTGGTTTTACTGATTTGCATTACTCCAGCCTGGAATGACCCTGTGCATCTCTTCCTATGTTTACTGGGGAGAATCATTACGATTTTGAGATGAATGCATAAATAGTCACGGGTGGGTGAGCATTCCAGGGGGAGGGACCTATGCAATTGCAAAGGCAAAGCATGGTGGGGGGTTATTTAGGAAAGATTTATTCAACAAATACTGTGCACTTACAATATTTAAGTTGCGGTGAAGCTGCAACACCGTACAAGGAACCTTCTAAGACATGCTTGTGTTCCTTATCAGGGTTGAAAATTCTAGGTGGCCTCAGGTGAGTTTTCAGAGGGGAGCCTCAGAAGTTGAGGATCTGGGTAGGTCCCTTTCTTGTTGGGAGTATCAGCGTTTCTTGGCAGGGCTTTGGAGGATAAGGAGGCTGAGATAGGGATGAGGGAAGGCAGAGATAGGGATGAGGGATCAATAACACATTCTTGCACTGTTGCTCAGGCTGGATTGCAGTGGTGCAATCATAAGTTGTCTGCAGCCTCGAGCTGGGCTCAAGCAATCCTCCTATCTTAGCCTCAGTAGTTAGAACTGCAGGTGCATACCACCACACCTGTCTCATTTTATTTTTTTATTTTAATTTTTGAGTTAGGATCTTGTTTTCTCATCCAGGCTGGAGATCAGTGGTATGATCATAACTCACTGTAGCTTAGAACTCCTGGGCTCAAGCAATCCTCCTGCCTCAGCCTCCTGAGTAGCTAGGACTATAGGAGCATGTCACCTTGCCTGGCGAATTTTTGAATTTTTTTGTACAGACAGGTTCTTGCTATATTGCCAAAACTGGTCTCAAACTCCTGGCCTCAAGCAATCCTCTTACCTTGGGCTCCCAGAGTGCTGGGATTACAGGCCTGAGCCACTGCACCCAGTTTGGTTTTGTATTTTAAAATAGAATACATTTTAGAATAAAGTAATACAGAGCCCTGACAGATGTGTAGAGTTTAATGTGTCACAGCAGAAGGGAGAGGTACATTTAACATACTACACGTAAAGATTTGGGGGTTTCAAGCGGAAGTATCTGCCCATAATATTTTTCATTTTTTATGTATTGCTTCTAGAAGGTGGATCAAATGGCATAGTGACTATAATTATGGCTTTAATTGTAGCTAGCATTTGTTTAGCTTCCAGCCTGGCGCTGTGCTAGAGGCTCTGCATGTGTCACTGTTAGTATTGGAAGCTAGGTATTATATTATCACCTTTGTTTTCCTTGTAGGGACTGGGACAGAGGCTAAATGACTTGATTAAATTTACAAGAGTAGTCAATGGCAGAGCACTGATTCATCTGGGTCTTTTAAACTCTGGCATCCTGGTTTTCCCCACTATGCCATACACGCTGGGTTTTTTTCACAGTTGTTATTTTTGAAACGGAGTCTTGCTCTGTCGCCAAGGCTGGAGTACAGTGGCACAATCTTGGCTCACTGCAACCTGTGCCTCCCGGGTTCAAACAATTTTTCTGCCTCAGCCTCTTGAGTAGCTTGGATTATAGGCATGAGCCACCCCGCCTGGCCTAGGGCCTTATAAGAAGAGGAAGAGGCTGGTGGCTCATGCCTGTAATCCCAGCACTTTGGGAGGCCGAGGCAGGTAGATCACTTGAGGTCAGGAGCTCAAGAGCAGCCTGGCCAACATGGTGAAACCCTGTCTCTACTAAAAATACAAAAATTAGCCAGGTGTGGTGGCAGGCACCTGTAATGCCAGCTACTTGGGAGGCTGAGGCAGGAGAATCGCTTAAACCCAGGAGGCAGAGCTTACAGTGAGCCGAGACTGTGCCACAATAAAATATTATCACTCTGGATGACAGACTGAACTCCATCTCAGAAAAAATAAAATAAGGGCCCCAGCCCCATGGGGTTAGGGTCCCACTCTTATAACCTCATTTAACCTTTATTATCTTACAGGACCTGTCTTCAAATATTGTCACAACAGAGGTTAGGTCTTCAATATATGAATTTTGGGGGGACATAAACCTTCAGTTCCTAACAACACAGTATCAGTAAAGAGAAAAGATTAATACACACAAAACTGTAGGAGTGTGTTCTGGGTGCATAATAAAGTACTGCAGTTTATTTTTGTCTTATACAAGTAACAAGATGTTTACAGTGGGGGGAACCCAAGAAAATATGAGGCCTGGTGCATGACTTGCACCTGTAATTCCAGCATTTTGGGAGGCTGAGGAGGATAGATTGCTTGAGCCCAGGAGTTTGAGACCATCTTGGCCAAGAAAGTTAGACCCTGTCTCTACTTTAAAAAAAAAAAAATTAGCCCAGCCTGGTGGCATGTGCCTGTAGTCCCAGCTACTCTGAAGGCTGAGGTGGAAGGATTACTTGAGCCCAGGAGGCAGAGGTTGCAGTGAGCCAAGATTGCATCACTGCACTGCAGCCTGGGCAACAGAGAGACTCTGTCTCAAAAAAAAAGGAAAGAAAGAAAGAAAATATGGATAGGCAAAACAGAAGAAAATTAAAATAATCCAAAGTGGTAACAGCTTTTAATTTTTTGGTGATTTCCCCTTTGTGCATGTGTGTGTGTCTGTGTGTGTCTGTGTCTGTGTCCTAGAGATATATGTGTGTACCTGGGTGCATATGCTCACAATCCCTCAATACATGCCTCCCAAGTATCCCAATAAACATGTTTTTCAGATGATGTAGTGACACAGGTGTATTGACACTGGTGGTGGGTCTTGTGAACGTTTGTAGCTGTAAGATGATCAGAGCAGACATAACACCTGGCTGTTACTGTTCTTCCCTCTCAAGGCTCTACAGTTGCCTGGCGTGGGGCACGCTGACCCAGGAGTAGAAATTGTACTGATGTTCTGTGTTATTTTCTTCACAGCAGTTCTCAACCCTGACAGAGGTGCTTTTCCACTTCCTAACTGAGCCAAAAGAGGTAAATAAAACATTTTGTGTTAGGGAGAGCGGGCCCATGTTCCCTGAGACGTTTAGAGAGTGAAGGCCTGGGCTTTTCACTCTTCCCCCTCTGCAGGTGGAAAGGTTTCTGGCTCAGCTCTCTGAATTTGCCACCACCAATCAGATCAGTCTTGGCTCCCTCAGAAGCATCATGAAAAGCCTCCTCTTGGTTCCAAATGGTGAGTAACCTCTCTTATCAGCTATGGCCAGAGACACTAACTTGAACATTCCTTTAGTCCATGGAGTCTTTGAAGCATGCTCCCAGGATGGAGCCAGAGCATTTGGTAATGAGCCAGATACGGGTGGGACTCTGTCTCAGGAGGAGCCCAGGTAACAGGTAAACAGAGTATAGTGGAATAGCAAATGCCCTGTGGCACAGCACGACTCAAAAGTTCAGTCTGCATCCTTGGTTCTGTCCCCAGAGTGTCCTCTTGTCCTCTCTACAATAAGTATAGAAATTGAGAATAAGCATTTTGAACCTTTTATAGCAATTTGACAGTGTCCTTTGAATCTCGTTTTTTTAAATGGAGCTTTTTTTTTTTTTTTTTTTGAGACAGGATCTGGCTCTGTTGCCCAAGCTGGAATACAGTGGTGCAGTCATAGCTCACTTCAGCCTCAAACTCCTAGGCTCAGGTGATCCTCCTGCCTCAACTCCCCAAGTAGGTGGGACCACAGGTGTGCACCACCCTGCCTGGCTAATGCTTTTTGTGTGTAGAGAGAGAGTCTCTCTGTTACCCAGGTTGGTCTAAAACTTGTAGTTCAAGCTGTCCTCCTGACTCGGCCTCTCAAAGTGCTGGGATTATAGGTGTAAGCCACCAAGCCCAGCTTCACTTCAAGTGTATTCGAAGTTGAGGGCTTAATTTGTTTGCCCCTGTTTGGTACTTTCC